CCTCTGGGCATACTTGGAGGGAAAAGGGATTAAAAAAGGAGAAAGAAAAAAAAATAAGGGGATAAATATTTGGGAGAAGGGAGTTCAAGAGCAGAGAAAAACAAATGAAAAGGGGTGCCAGACTGGAACTGGCAGCTGGCTGCCAGCATAGCAGCTTGGGACAAAGTTGGTGGAAGAGTTATGTGCCATGTTTGGGTTGCTTAAAAAAATACACCCTCCCTCCCTCACTATTCCACCTCTGTTTTTTTCCCTGGCCCCAAGAATAAGGAGGCATTTGGTTGCCAAATGCCTGCTTGCAGGAAGTTTGTATTTAAAGCTATGTCGAGGGATGCAAATGGAGAACATCCAGCGATGTGCACATGGGCATACACATGAGCACCTGGAGTCCTCACTGGTCCCACTTGGGATGAGAAGGACTGGGGTGCCTAGGGGTGCACAAGGGAATTGTGCATCCCTTAGGACTAGGGAATTGTTATCACCCTCTGCTACAAGGAGATGCCAGGACATTGGCAACCATGGCATTATTTTTTCCAATGCATGGGGAGGAGGTGGGAGGGTGGGAGGGTGGAGGAGAAAGGAGGGGGGGTGGAAGGTTGTAACGCTTGGCTGGAAAAATTTAGAGGAGTACAAAGGAGAAAGCAATGAAAAGGGATGGCAGGAGGGGGAAGGAAGCTACGGACTGGCTGCTGTGGGAAGATTTACATTTGCTGAGTGGGGCTGGGTGGGAGCAGGCAGGGGTGTGGAGTTGATGCTGGGGGTGCCAGGGGAGGAATGCGGCTCCAGAGCAAAGCGCCTTGTTTTCATCCTTCCTCTCCTCCTCCCTCCACTGCGTGCTCGGAGGAGAAGAAAAGACAAAAAGCTGAACCGGTGCCAAGAAGGAGCTGCAGCAACTCGAAAACGGCGCTCTGTGCCGCACTAATATTTCCAAGCAGGGCTGCTCTCGAGAGTGGAGAAACGTGCCAGGAATGAGAATGGCTGTGGTGCGGGGCCACCAGTCGGATGCAGGAGTCTTCTCCCTCCTCTTTTACCTATTAAATGCCACCCTTTTCCCTTCTTGCCTAATCCCAGTGATATTAGGGGACTCTTGCTCCTGGCTTTGCCTCTCTTTGTTCCATCCCAGAGAGGGGGTAGCAGGAGCCAGGCAGTCCCCAGTATCCGCAACAGCACTATACTTGGGCACAGCAAATGTAAGGCAGAAATGCTGTGTCTTTATCCATTCTTAGCCTGGCTGCGCATGTTACCAAGCTCACATGTAAAAGATTATAAGTAGGTAACAGAAGGAGCAAACAAACCTATCCCCTCCTGCTTGCTGAAGTCTCAGCTCAGAAGGATTATTTATCTATCTATCTATCTATCTATCTATCTATCTATCTATCTATCTATCTATCTATTTCTGCAATTTTTCCTAGGAAGAAATTGAAGACTTGGTTCCCAGGGAGTTTTCTGACTGTTTCCCCAGTGCCACTCCTTCCCCTCCTCCTTGCTGTCCTCCTCCTCTCGCAGTACCCATAAGGCTGCTCTCGCTGCTCTGTATCATGATGCAAGGTTACTTGTAGGACACACGAATCTCTGCAAGGTGCAGCGTTGCCTGCATCGGTGCTCCCGTGCACTTCTCATTTCCTGAGGGATGTAGCAACTTCCAGGCTGTGTGCCACAGTTACATGGTCAGTCAAGCCTCTGCTAAATGCAGAGGTGGGATTTCTTTTGTAAAAGCCCCTTTTTGCAAAGCCTACCTAGGCAAAAAGACATTAACAATAGAGATCTGAAACTTTGGCAGCAATTCATAACTGATTCACATTGGTTGGGCTGGAGTTTTGCTCTGTTTTTTTCTCTGAAAGGGAAGGTTTTCTCCTGTTATGTTCCCCTTTTCCTTTCATTCGTAGGATGAGAAAAAGTATATGCAAGCTGCATAATTTTTAACCATTTTGAAATGTTTACAGCATCTAGAAACATTCTTGTAAGATTGCAGAATGGAAGCTCGAAGCAAAAAAATCTTTCCACTACTGCATTTATACATGCATTTCTGTCTTTCTGTCTGGATCATACTGGAATTTGGATCACTAGTTTAAGGTGTATTGACGGTAATTAGAGACTAGGAAGAGAAAACCCCCAACCATGGGTCTGACAACAAATCCACATGTTTTTTTATCAGCAGCCAGCAGATCAGCTTCGAGGGACCTTCCTAAAGCACAGGCAGAAGCTCATCAGCTTGCTGAGTCTCAGAAGCTTGCACGTTGTTAGCTTGGTCCAGTTTGTAGTCCCAAACTGTGGGATGATCCCAATGACCTTTATCTCACCTAGAATTCCTGTCCTACTATATATGCAAATCCACTCAAATCTCATGTTGATTCTAAACATGTAAACCTGGTTTTGGAGGACCTGATTCTGCTCAGTCAATGCCTGTTGGAAATAATGTGATAAATAGACTGTGACTGAAATGTTATTTGGCTACATTCCTTCATCCTTCTCTTATCCAAAGATAGCTCCTTGCAGATCAATGGTCATTTATCTCAGACCATCAGAAACACAGTCATAGATTAACGCCTCTAGGATATGTATTAATTTCTAGTGTGACATATCTTTGTATGGAGGAGGATGTCTGCAGTGACCGTTCTCTCCCTGTTCCTCCAATCACGTGGTTGCTGTAGCCTGACTTAGGCTTGAGCAAAAGAGATGCCATTGTGTATTCTTGCTCTTTTTCCTTTGTCACAGGAACTTTGGAATCACTGGAGTGGGTGGGGAAAAAATCGTAGAATCATAGAATGGACAGGTTGAAAAGGATCACAATGATCACCTAGTTTCAACCCCCTGCCATGGCAGATTTGCCAACCACTAGAGCAGGCTGCCCAGAGCCACATCCAGTCTGGCCTTGAATGCCTCCAGGGAAGAGGCATTCACAACCTCCTTGGGCAACCTGTTCCAGTGTGTCACCACCCTGTGCGTAAAAAAACTTCCTCCTGATATCTAACCTAAACCTCCTTTGTCTCAGTTTAAAACCATTCCCCCTTGTCAACAAGAAGGTTGGTCAAGTAATTTGGTGTAATTGCTGTGCTACTGTGCTTTCCACCAGATGCCACCTGCTCTTAGTGAATAAAGTACACACATAAATATATGTGTTTGCATGTGCACACATGGGCTTGCTGTTTGCTTTTCCGTTGCCTCTTTAAACTTAATGAGGTGAATTGTGTATTTAAGCTACTATCCTCACCAAAGGTACATACTATGCAGAATATGCCTGAATTTCCCAGATGTCCTTGCTGATGGTTTTGGCTGTGCTGCTGCTCTTCCTCTGAGCACAGCCCCCTCTTTTTAACCTAAGATCCCTCACCACAAGATGCCAACTTGAAAAAGCAAACAGTGGGACTAGGGATTAAATCCCACATCAAAGTGAGCAGAGGAGACCCTGGCATCTGTCCTAACACTCGTGCACCTGCACAGAGCACAGCTCATGCTTTGGGACATCCAGCCAACTTGTCTCTCTTTCTGATTTAAACCTCCTACTATTTTGCTTTCCAAATTACAATTAGTGAACAAATTTATAGACAGGATACCAAATACATGGACAAAAAATTAATGTATTCCAACAGTATTCATATGAGCAGTGCAGCATTGTATTACATGATGTTTAGGAAGATAAACTGAGAACAGAAAAATGAAAGAACCTTCCTAAACTGCATACTGCAGAGCACAAATCTCTTCTATTTCCTCAATGTCTTGACAATGCTCTGGAGTATGAGAGCTTGTGTAAGGGTGCCCATCCTGGGACAAAGACATTTTTCTTGTACTTTTCTAGTGATCCAGGCAAGCCATCTGATCATAGCCTCCCTATAGAGACTGTGAAGCAGTGACAATGCAGCTGAGTGTCTTTGTCTGTCTTTCTGCCTGTATTATTAATTTCTCTGGATGTATTCCCTTGAAGCATAATATCTCATGAATCTCAAGTTCTTTTCTTCAAACACTTCTTTTTAATATCTTACAATGAAACCTTATTTGCTTGAAATTGTTATAAGATGGCTTGCAAATGGAAGGGTTAATCCAGAGGGCTCTTCCAATGCTTTCTTCAAACCATTCTCCCCACACCTTCCCCACTTCCAACAATTTTTTATTTTTACCAGTAGCCTCACAGTTCTGTAATCTAAATGTGCAAATGCTTTGCAGTCACAGTCCAGTAGCTAGGTTAATCTCAGACCCCTGGAGTGGCAGATGGCTGATTTGTTGCTGATTCCAGTTACAGAGAATTGTGCCACCTATTATCTTTGCACAGGCTGTTGCTTAAAAAGATGCCATAGGCAAAATCAGTGACAAGCAAAGCAAAGAAAACACTCTGTGATATGCATTATCACAGGTGAAAATGTGAAATATTTCACCTTTAGTGGGAAGGGCTCAAGAGGTGGACAAAGAGAGGAGAGGAGGTAGGAGGAGAAGAGAGGGAGAGGGATTTTTGCACCTGAAATACAGAAATATATCTGTAGGTTTGCTATAGGAATGATACTGAATTAAAAAAACTTACCCTACTTTAAAAGTTTTTGGAAGGTATTAATCTTTATCTTTAGCCCTCTGCTTTAAGTCTTAAACAAAGCAAATTAGTTGACACTATTGGATACCTTTTCTGCTTTTTCCTAAAGCTCTTCCCAAGCTTTAGCAGTGTGTGTTGTTATACAAATCAGTGGCTCTTGTCCCAGTTGTCACACTTTAGGATTTGCCTAATGACCAATGGGCAAAGTTGTGACAGCACCACATTGCCCACTTTCACCCGAGCTGCCTGGAGCAGAAACTTGTCCCTCTACATGGTTCAAGAAGGAGGTTGGAGGACCTTCCAGAACTGATGGGGGCTGAAGCAAGTGGGGTGTACCCTAGTTCAAAGAGTCCTGGATGATGTACACAAAGAAGCATGTAATGAATTGGAAGAGTGAAAATATTCAGATATTTGTGATAATTTTCTGCACTTCCATGTCTACAATTAATATTTTCTTTTTTCTTTGCTCTGGGAAACACCACAGAACCAGATGAAGAATTTGGGAAGAGAGTGTGGGTTCCCTGTGCAGAGTCTGGTGACAAAATCCATGAATAAGGTAAGACCAAGGAATTATATCTGTGAAGGTTTTTCCCTTCCAAACTCATTATTGAAGAATTATATGCAGAACTTCAGATATGCATAGCACAGAAATTGACATTCCAAGTGCGAAGTGAAAAAGTCTGAAACATCAAGCCAAAAAGGACTTCTTTTTAATGCATACTGTTATGATGGCTTGGGTTTTATAACAGTTTTTATTGTATCCAAATGATCTACATGTGAATAATTGTTACCAACCTCCTGACACTGGGACCTAATTATAAAGTAAGAGCCTTAAATAGGCCATTTGCGTAGTGAGCTTCCATATGTCTCCTTGTGCAATTTATTTGCTTCACTCCATTGAGATATAATGAGAATGAAACTCCTCGAACTGCCTTTGACTCTGAGGCCCTCCTCTTCATCTTCCTTGCAGTTATAGCCTACAATTAAGAAGATAATGTCTATTTCCCTTTGTTCAGAAAGAAAAATGTGCTGTCCTTCTACTCTTATTCCAAACTGACCGAGTTTTTCTATTTCCAAGTTTCCAGTGGAAATAGAATGAGAAATAGCAAAACAATCCATAGGCTATGAAAAATATAATGCCATCAGAGAAAGCACAGTGAAGGATAAGACAGGATGACCATGAAAGTATACTACTTATCATATCTAGTTCTCCTGGAAATCTACCTAAAAGCTAACATGATTGTGTTTCAGCCAAGGTATAGGTTCAATTTAAAGCCCTCTGTGTTGCTTCTGTCTTTTAGGATATGAGGAAGGGGAGTGCTTGGTTCGAGGTTTGAATTTTATCTTAGTTCTGGTTACTTAGCTCAGTATGGACCAACATGCTTTCTGGGGCATTATGTCCATGTTATTTTGAAGAGCATTTTCTTTAAATATGATTTCAGGGGTTCAGGAGAGATCCTGCTTCCAAACACCTTTTTAGTGCATGACTCCATCTCAGGCATCATCCTGAAGTCAATAAAAGTTTAGAGTATGAATACCGTCTTCTGCAGGAGCAAACATGAACGAGCTCTCAAAGTGGCTTTTTATTTGTTTCATTTGTTTTTAGTTTTTCTTTTCTTTTTCTTTTTTTTTTTTTTCTTCTAAATTGAGGTCTTATTTCATTTCTCAGTGCACGTCAGTTCCACATGCAATGATTTTGTTTATGATAATTCACTTGCATGTTCCCTTCCAGGAATTGTCATTGCCTTCCAGAGGGGAGGTTAGTGTTGGTTCCCTTGCAGTGATAATTATAATCAGACCTGTCAGCATTCACGCAGTCTACACTTATCACTTGCATTTAGGAGGATTTTTTCCTGAAGCCTATTACCAGCGTTGCTTCTTAGGGAGAAATAGTCATGATTTTTCAACTAATCTTTGATGTCTCTCAGCTTTGAAAGCACAGAGAGAAGCAAAATGACTGCCAGTTGCAGTTAAAGGCAATGTCTGTCCCTAGCTCTGCTTCTGGAGAGCAGGGGTTTGGGAAACACAGATTCTTGATGCAGTGGTGACAATTTCTCAGTATGTGGGAGACACAAAGCAGTGTTTTTTCCAGTTGTGATACCCTCTTAAATTAGCTCTGTAGATGTGCTAGATGAGGGCTCTGTGTGGTAGGCAATCATGGGCACTGCTTGCCATAAGGGACAGGAGCAGCATGGGACCGATGGAGCTGCAGCCACCTGCACACAGCAGTGAAGTGGTGTCTGGCTGGCCAACGTGGTGGTGTTTGATAGGATGTTGTTTGGTGTTATATTCATTCTAGGATATATAGAAAATTGCCTACCCCAGTGTTTTTTCAGGGAGAGAGGCATCCCACCATTTACTAGACGTGCTCTCATTTTCACTCCATTGCTCTTATTGATATGCTAATTTTCCCCCTCTTTGCCTTTTGCTTTTTGCTAATTTTAAAAAGCAATATGTCACTTTATACCCTTTCATTAGTCTAAATGAGTGATGTATTTTTAATTCCCTCCTATGCTATCACTGTGTTCTTTATGTTTTCAAAGATTTGGGTTCCCCTGATTTTGGCAGAAATTGAGAACAGTCATTGCTGTATTGCTTTTGTGGAGGAAATGTTGGGACAGTGGGAACTTGTGCTCTCTGCAGCTATGTATTTACAGCATGTAAGAATATGATTTGTCTTTATTTTATTTAAATTCATTGGCAACTCAAGATTTATTTATCAGGTGTCACTCCCTGAAGGAAGATAAATGCTACATGGAAAAGACTTCATCTATTATACAAACAGATTTGAAGGCTTTGCTGTTGCATTTCCCTGCCTGCTGTATGAAGTATAAATGCCTTCGGCTGAGCAGAGACAGAGTGATACTTAGCAGCAGCATCTTATGACCTTTTGATCAGATGAGATCTCAAGCCTTATTAGGGGACGGATTATGATGTGATGGTAAGAGGGCCAGGAATAGTCTTTTTGTTATGAGATCTTTCCAGTGAGCATCCTTCTTCAGCACATTCAGGTGGTTAAAGCACTGGAGCCAAGACCAGCATATGAAAATGAGGGAGTAAAGTATTGGAATGGGCAATTCAAACACGTTCAAGTTTGCCAACTCCTGCTGAATATCACAGCTTACAGTTTATCCCTAATATTCTCTGACCTCCTATTCTAGCAATACTGTAAGTGACAGTGCAAAATTTTCTATGACTAATAATCCCATTCTGATAGAAAGTTCTACCCAAAGACAGGCCCTCAGTTACAGTCATACAGTCATAGAATCATAGAATCCTTAGAGTTGAAAGGGACTGAATTATTCAACCACAATCTACCCTTGTTTAATTTGAAACTATTTCCCCTTGTTCTGTTAGCACAGACCCTGCTAAAGTGTCTCTTTCTTCCTGTAGCTCCCCTTTAGATACTGACAGGAGTCCAAGGCGTGTAGGGAGCTGCAGTCCCAAATCCAAGGTGTGCACATTGTGAATGTAGTTATCTGGGACTGATGGGAAACACACTCACATAAAGCATCTGTGACATTTTTGAGATAACAAATATAGCACTTAACCCTGTTTCAACTCTATTTACAAAAATTTTGTGTTTAAACAAATGTATGGCCATAGTTGCATTTTTCTTTTAATGGAGTCAAAGAGAAATGTAAACAACTTTTACATAAAGCTTGACTACTACCTGCACAAGATTACTCCTTAAACATCCTTAAACATTGTAGATTTAAATTAAACTTCTAACTTGATGTCCAGTATTGATACTCTGACATAAATAGCCTGAAGGAGAATGCCCACTCATTGTTGACTCTGCTCATTGGCTCAATGGTTGTGCCAAAGTTTGGCCTGGCTGCCAAGGCCACTTCTGGGAAAGAAAGTAGGGCGTTTGTGAAGCACTATGTAAATGTAAATGGATATACATGAGCATGATCCAGACACACACAGGAAGTCCATGCTTGTTATGGAGTATGTAAAATAGCCCTGCATGTACTAGAATTATGGCCTCTAAGTTGTACAGGTTTTGTTTCCTCTTGAAGCTGAATGATCTGTTGGTTTTTTTTTTCCCTAAAGGGAAGAGAGAGAAGGGCTGGCAGTGCATGAATCCCTTACTGCTATCAGTGTTCCCTAACTGCTATCAGAGGATGCTGATGCATCAGGTCTGGAGAACAATAGCTGCCACAACCCTACAGAAAGTCTTTGAAAATGAAAAGGTTATGGAGGTGGAGGAAATGCACAGCAGGACACCATCTCTTCTTATCTCCCCCAGCCTCTTCAATCAGGTACCTGCTGAGCTTCCCACTCCTCCTGCCTTTTAGGATAGGATCATAAAGCATTAGATTCTGCTGGCATTAAGTCATCTTCCTGATATTATAGCTCCCCAGGACAGGGAACTGCAGTGAAACATGGAAGCTTGAACCCACATGGGACTTAAACTGTAGCTACTAGGCCTGTGGAGATGTCCAGGAGCTATGAAGAGATACTTGCTGTCTGACTCCATCCTTCACCACTTTTCCAATAGGAAAAGCAAGGAGTATTGAAAGGTGGATAGCAGCCCTTCTGCTGCCTCCATCTCCTCCAAACATGCTCTTGCTGAAATATACCCGGACCACCAATGGCTTTGCAATGAAAGGTGCTTGGAGAGATGAGCTGCTCTGAAAGGACCCTTCTGAGAGTAACAGTTTCTGATGAAACCTTTTAAATCTTTCCACTGAGAATGCTTTGTGACGTGCGTGGTGAAGAGGATGAAGGTACAAGGGTCTCTGTGAGGTATGGAACATTGTATGGACTTTGATGACACTGTATTAAAATCTTCCCTCTCGGCCTGGGATTGGCTTTGTGCTACTAGATCTTCTGCCAAACAATTCCTATACCAGTGTACTCAAAGCACTCTCTTGTCTTCAGTTTCTGTAACTCAGAGAGATCCATGAAAACAGATTAACTGATCTTCAGCTTAGTACAGAAGCTCATCTAGAACATCTTATGTTCTACAGATTAGAATGGCTAGAGCACATGATAACTTCTAGAGGTGGGATGCTTTTCTAGGGGCATACCAATTAAAGTGGCAAGTACTGAAGAAATAGCATCACATAGATGACAGTGCTATGGAATGGGAAAAAGAGGACAATTTATGAATTTGAGCTGTGTTTGTCTAACTTTGTCATTGTAAGCATGTAATGCCTGGTTCCTTGCAATTATTCTTAGATTACAGACAACAGAAACCTCCAGTTTCTCACTTGAGAAAGAGTGATAGCTTGAACCCGAAAAACACTATTGTTTTAACCAGATTTAGAGCCATACACCTCCCTTCACTTTGCTGGAATGTGGTGATCTTGGGATAGGACAAGGATAGGAGGACATTTATGTCATACCAGTGCCTTAGGCTGTTTGTCTTCAGCAAACGAAGTGGTGTTTGCAAAAGCTGCTGTGCAGAGGAATGAGTATACATGCGGATACTCAGACTACCAGACCCTGGCATGCTTTTGGTCCATGACAACTAGCAAAGTCTTAAATCATTGCTAAACATGGATCAGGGTTCATTTTGCATTTAGCTGCTGTGTTAAGGAAGCT